TAGATAGCGGTTAACCCTAACCGCTATTATATCCTCTCAATTATGATCGATCATTTCAAGTTATGATCGATCAGAATCTTATTTCGCTCGAGCGAGAGTACTTGTCGCTCAAGCGAAATACAACCCGAGAATTCACAATCTTAAAATATTTTTTGAATATTATGTTTTTAAATTTGCTATTAGAGAAAACCTTTCAGAATTCAAAATGTTAAATAGTTTTAAATATTAAAATTAACTTTATCAAAAATTAGGAAAAAAAATTTATCCAAAAGAGTTCAAAAATGTATAAGAGTATTCTCAATTTTGAGTTTAATTATATTGTTCATTCTCAAAGTAGAAAATTATATTGTAATTATTTTAATTTACATTTTGTGATCTTCTTAAAAGGAATTAGATCTTCTTAGCATCAATAACATTAGACTTTACATTTGATTCATACCTAACTAATTATAGATTAAAAGGAAAGTGGTATAACCATGCATTTTACTTTTCTATTTACCTTATTCTTTTAATTATTTTATATAATATTTACCTTATTCTTTTAATTATTTTATATAATAATAATCAAAATATTCACATTCATATGGGCGTTTTCGAAAATAATATTATTGTATTATTGTTAAAATTAGCATCAATAACATTAGACTTGATCTTCTTAATTATATTGTTCATTCTCAAAGTAGAAAATTATATTGTAATTATTTTAATTTAATAAAATATAATTTAAATTTTTAATACTAAAATTAAAAGATTAAATAATAATAATGACTTTAATTCTTTAAATTGAGTATTTAGAAACTAAAATTATAGTTTCTCTATTTTAAATAATTAAAATAAAAATGAATATCAAAACTAGTATTATCTTCATTTTTTTTGTTTCAAACTTCTCAATTCTACATTTTTGTAACTTCTATCATTATATTATCATCCTCATCTCATCCCATGTTCTACTTTATCTTTATAATAGTTAATATTCTTAAATAATCTATATTTTTAATTATAAATTTCATAAATTAATCAATTCTAATCTATTATTTGAAAAACTAATCAATAATTTAGAAAACTAATCGATTATAATTAATTATTTGAAAAAATTATCAAATATGATCGATCATTTTCAAAATATAATCGATCAGAATCGGATTTCGCTTGAGCAAGAGTAGTCTCGCTCAAGCGAAATACAACCCGAGACTTAACAATCTTAAAATATGTAACTTCTAATAGCGGTTAAACCTTAATCGCTATCTTATATACACTTCGAGATAGCGGTTATAAGGGAACCGCTATTATATCCTCTCAATTATGATCGATCATTTAAAGTTATGATCGATCAGAATCGATATTCGACTCGAGCAGAGTGGTGTCGCTCAAGCGAAATACAACCCGAGAATGCCAATTTTGTGCGAGTAGGCGTTTCGCTCGAGCGAGACCATTGTCGCTCAAGCGAAATACATTTTACAATATTTTAATCGATACAACTTGATTTTAATCGATTAAAACCACTTAAGGGTTGAGGATGATCGATCATAATGCAATTATGACCGATCAGAATCAGCTTTAATCGATTAAATCTCGTTTCAATCGATTAAAACAACTTAAAATTTCTACACGACGTTTTAATCGATTAAAACTTATTTTTATCAGTTAAAATAACTTGAAAAGTTTTACAAGAAAGTTTTGCAGTATTTCAATCGATTGAATCGTGAAACAATCGATTAAATCAACTTAGAGGATTTTTTGTAAAGTGTTTTAATTGATATAAATGTTGTTGTATCAGTTAAAACAAATCTGTTAAAGAATCAAGAACGTATTAATGGATTAAAAGAAGTTTTAGCAGATTAAAGCTGCACTTTTAACAGATTAAAAGAATCTTTTAACAGATTAATTAAACCAGCGAGTTTTGAAAATCTTCTATTAAAACAGTTTGGCTTGAACTTTTTTAACATACATTGAATATAATCTTTTACACATCCTTGAGCAATCAATCAAGCAAACTTCAGCACTCTTTTCAAGAAAGATTCGCATCAGTTTTTGAGAAGTTCTTTGAAAATCTTTTTTGAGGCAACTTGATTTCTTTTGAAGAAGAAACACTTACGCAGAATTGCATAAAGCTGGTTTGAGCATTCTAGTTTCTTCTTTTTCATTTCTTTACATTTTTTTGTATTGTTTGGTGCCTGGAATTTGGGCACTTGGTTTCTCTGCAGTTGGAATTTGGTTGTAGAGGTTATTAAGAGCTAGAATTTGGTAATACGAGAAAACATTTCGGAAAGCAAAATGTTAAATACTTTTAAATATTAAAATTGACTTTATAAAAAATTAGGAAAAAAAATTAATCAAAAAGAGTTCAAAAATGTATTATAATATTTTCAGTTTTAGTTTAATTATATTTTTCATTCTCAAAGTAGAAAAATATATTGTAATATTATTTTAATTTAATAAAATATAATTTAAATTTTTAATACTAAAATTAAAAGATTAAATAATAATAAATTTAATTCTTTAAATTTAGTATTTAGAAACTAAAATTATAGTTTCTCTGTTTTAAAAAATTAAAATAAATATTTAAAAATAAAAATCAAAACTATTATTATGTTAAATTTATTAAAAGTATAATTAAATCTCTATTTTCTTCAATTTTTTAATATAAATTTTTAAAATATAAATTAATTTCAATTGAAATTTTCAATTGAAAATTAAATTCAAGAATATTTGTTATTAAACTTTTCTTAAACAATGTATTGAATAGTTAACATCACTCTAGTCTTAATTTATTACAATTTAAATTTTTAATAAATTTGATTTATTACAATTCATTTTGTTAATATTGAGACCAAAGTTTATTTTTAAAGTATTTTTTAAAAATTAAATTATTTTTAAAAACTAAATTACTTTTAAAAAATAAATTGTAAAAAATATACTAAAACAATTAAAGTATATTTATAAAAAAAAATTTAAATATAATAAAAAATAATATTCATTAGCGACCGATTTAAATTCGGTCAGCTATTTTCTCATTAGCGACCGATTATAATTCGGTCACTATTTCAATTTGTAATTCGGTCGCTAAATCGATCGCTAAATGATTTTTTTATTTTAGTGTGGAATAGCCATCGATTTAGCGATCGAAATTTTGCGACGCAAATTATTGGTCGCTATTTCGGTCGCTAAATAACAAAATGAAAACCAATTCATATTTTGGTCGCTAAATCGATCGCTAATTGCGACCGAATTAAAGTGGTCGCTGAATCGGTCGCTAATTGCGACCGAATTAAAGTGGTCGCTAAATCGGTTGCTATTTGCGACCAAAATTAAATCGGTTGCTAAATCGGTCGCTATTTGCAACCGAAAAACTTCGGTCGCTAATTTCGGTGGCTAAATGTCATTTTTCTTGTAGTGTAAATGACTAGTTGCACAAATTTTATAGATGTTGATATTTCTTGTCCTCACTCTCTGTATTAAATCACATGCTTACTCTCGTTTGATTATATGTCCTTTATATAATTTTCCTACCACTTCTGAATTCAATTTAAAATATTTATTATTAAATAAAATAATTATAAGTGAATCTGACTTAATTTAAATTTTAAGAAATCGAGATTATAAATAATCTTTTTACATAAATTTTTTTTGCAACAAATCACGTTTTTAATATCTAAAATGATTCTATAAAATTTTGGATTTGGGACTTTTCATTCCTATAAAGTAGGAAAAACAGCAAATAAAAAAAAAAAAAAATATATATATATATATATATATATATATATATATATATATATATATATATATATATTCTATTTGTTATTTTAGAGTAAAAGGCACGGGAGGGAAAAAACTATGTTGTGAAAAATATATATAAAACAAAAAAAAGGATTTTATGAAGTACCAATACGTTATTCACGCATACGTATGTCTTCATAGTATGTCCTGTACAAAGTGGCGACGCTTAACTTTAACTTCATTCAATATCCAATTCAAAAATATATGTAGAGTATTAAATCAAAATGTGAGTCCAAATTTATATTGCATTACTGTACTGCACATTTTAATTGTTTCAATTAGTTGTGTTTAATTTATTATTGAATAAAATTGTCTACAATCTTATTATGACTACGAGAGTAACGTGTAATTTATAAATATTTTCAATCACTGAACTCTAAAATATTTAATATACAAATAGGTTAAACTATAATATAAAAATATAATATGTAATTTATATTGAGTTTATCGAATGTGGTTAACTAATATAAATTTTATAATATAATATATAATTCATATTAATTAATTAAAATTTGTGAAATTCTTTACGTATAATTTGAATAAAAAAATTATTATAATTTTTTTATCTATAAATATGGTTCATCAATATCCAAATTGTGATACTGATTTAACTTGGTAAATAATATTTGACTAAAAATTATTTTTACCAAATATCAAACTCAAACGGTACCATAATAATTTAATATTAGATTAACAAATTAATCACTTGTATAATTTTTTTAATTCAAGTGGATTATTTATTATTTAAGAGTTCCAAGCTATATTTCTTTACTTTATATATATATATATATATATATATATATATATATATATATAAATTTTTAAATATATTCTTCTAAAAACCTCAAATATTGAATTATGTTTCAAGCCAACTCTAAACTTTGTGTTAAAATCCATTACTTTAGGATTTCATTAATAAATCTTTATTACTTTAAGGATAGGTTTCGTAACCATTACCTTGTTGTAATTTTTTTTTTTTTCAAAGAAATTACTCTTTATAATATAAAAATGATAAAAAATTCATTTCCTTTTCTAACGTGCCACGCGTGACATTTGGGACCGTCCAATATCATCCAACTCAGTAGCGACGATGTTCTTACTACCCTTGGATTTAGGTCGAGCACAAACACTCTTTTTATATACTACCTCCGAGCTTCCTATTTCTTCTCTACGCTGTTTGCCGTGAAAGAGAAACCCTAGGTTTTGGAAGCTGATCGGAAACAATGGTGCAGCGTCTCACCTACCGGAAGCGCCACAGCTATGCCACCAAATCCAACCAGCACAGGGTCGTTAAGACACCTGGTAATTTCTCTTCAGACGCTTCTCATCCTTGTTTATTCTCAATTAAGACGCGTCGTTTCGCCCGCCTGGGTTTGATAGAGTGTCATGTTTGGTGTTTGATTGTCTAATGCAGGTGGTAAGCTGGTTTACCAGAGCACGAAGAAGAGAGCCAGCGGACCCAAATGTCCTGTTACTGGAAAGAGCATTCAAGGGGTATGCAATTTATTTATTTATTTTTTTCATTTGAGATTTTGTTTTTCGAAAAGGATCTTCAAAATGTTTTTACTTTTGGATGATATATGGCACACGATTTCAGTGAATTGGCAATTAGTGATGAATGGCAAGTAACTGTCCTTGGAAAAGATTGGTTCGTGCTTCTGCTTCTTTCTTTTGTAATTGGAATTTTAAAGTTAGTTTGTCGGGAAACTTTTTGATTGTGTAAATCACTTCTTCGATGGATTAGAGTGAATTTAAGATGTATTATGTAATGGATGCTTTTGTATGAAGGTATACAAGGGGGACAATCACTCTCGAGAAATCGTTTTTTTTTTTTTTTTTTTTTTTTTTTTAATTTTATGGTTTTGATACCTTGAGGCAAAATTTTCCAGAAAGTGTATGCCTTGGTAATGAATTATATTAACATTAGCCGAAGAAAACGTGTAATAATTGATTTTTTTTTTCATTGGTTTTACTTATAAATTAAGCACTCAAACTTACATTCTAAATGAAAGTAAAAGATTATGATGTTTGATTTACAAAGCCCTATGCTGCCCTCAAACTTTACATTCCACCTGTTCTGTATCCCAAATGATTTTCCTTGGTCATTGTTCTATTTGATTTTCTTTGTCAAAACAGTTTTTGATTTTGCACTGCATGGTCTGCTAACTGATTATGTATGAATGATGCAATGTATAACTTAATGGTTATCAATACTTGCTTCGGCAAATGCAGATTCCACATTTAAGGCCTGCAGAGTACAAGAGATCAAGGTTACCCAGAAACCGGAGGACTGTGAACCGTGCATATGGAGGTGTGTTGTCTGGCAGTGCTGTTAGAGAAAGGTTTGTTTTTTCCTCAATCTTCTTAGTCTATTGTATTTTTCATTTTCTTTGTGCATATTGATTGAGGACGTTGCTCAATCTTGTGTCTGGTTCTGTAGGATTATTCGAGCTTTCTTGGTTGAAGAGCAAAAGATTGTGAAAAAGGTCTTGAAGATCCAAAAGGCTAAGGAAAAGCAAGCATTGAAGGGCTGAATTTTTTTGAAGTGATAGATCTTTTTGGAGGGATTTTAGGTTTGTGTGATTACAGTAAAGCATGAAATTTATCAGAGCTATTTCCATGTCAATTTGTGTTTGGCTTTGTTAAAACTCATTTTAGTGTTAACTTCGTCGACAACTCCATTATGATACAGTTTTGTATGTCACGACTTTCTCCTGTTGGATTATTTTCGGTATATTGGTACTTGCTCTTAAACCTGTCTCATCTGGAATAATTCTGCTTCGTCACTTCAATTTTACAAAACAAACCAGTGGTCTTGTAGTCTGAAAAGATAACTTTACTAATACAGTTGGTTTTAGAAGATACATGTCTAGTTTTGACTACTTATGTAAGTAGAATTTTTGCCATACCAAATTTGGATGTGGAAATGAATGAAGGCATTGCATATTAGTAGTGGATCTTTTGAATGAAGACACCACTAGTAATAATATGACTTTTGTTTACATTGTACTACATATTCCGCGTGTTGATTGTTATTATGGTTTGTCAATGAAACTGCTTATACAAGAATCATTATATTAGCATTTTAAAAAAAAAATTATGCTGTGAATGGGATAAACATTGTTAGGGAAAATGTTTTAATCATTATTGTTTGAAACACTCATTTTAATAATCGCAACACTAGAAATAATGTGTAGAATGAATAAATGTGACATTGTATCTTGTATGTATGATGTGCATTTTAGATGTTTTTAGTAGACCTGCAAATTTGGAATAGTTTAAAAATTCCCTTCAGATGGGTTAGGATATAAAAGGTCCACTTTGATATGATCAAAATGTCCACAGTAGTTATATGGACTACGAAAGTTCGTGAGTCAATTTAAAAAAGAAGTAAAAAGTAAAAAACTCTATTTTAAAAAGTAAGAATTAGAAAAAGATCTATTTTAAAAAAGTTTGATACGTGTGAAAAAAAAACTAATTTGTTTTATAATTTTGAATATTTAAATTTTAATACAAATCAATGTCTTTTTTATTATTTTTTTAATATATATTTCATAATTATCCAAATCAAATGTAAAATTCTATTTTATTTTTTTTATCAAATAATTATGGGAATCAATTTTTTTCTATTTTTATATAAAATCTGAACTAAATTAAATTAGTGTTTATGTTTTGGATTTTTTTTTCATATGAAAGAATTAAAAAAAATTATCAATCAGTTGGAAAATATTATTCAATAGTTTATTATAAAAAACTATAAAAATGAAGAATTATTTTATATAATTTTTTTATGATTTTAGTTTACCTTATATTTGTAAATATATTACAGTCTTATAACTTATAATTTAAAATTACTATTATATTTTTAATAAGTATAAATATATTATAAAAAAATACAATCAAATTATAAATAATTTAATTTTTTATTTTAATCTAAAATCTGAACTAAAAAGATATCATTTAAAAAAAAGATATAGAATAATTTAACAAAAGTTTGATGTTAATAATTCTTAATAATCATCTCCACTTGCTAGTTTTTAATTAACTCAAAATAAATATCAATGTATTTAATAATTTAAGTTAATTAAATATTATATTTAATAAATATTATAATCAACATATCATAAATAAATTTGACTCAAACAGAAAATTTTAAGTAACAGTATTATTAAAATTTAAATTTTTTTAAAAGTAATCAAATCAGTTGGACTTTTAGGAGCTATCACCTCTTAAGAAAATTTAAAATTTATTAATATTAATATATTGTTTGTTATTTACATTTGATTGACTAAAAAATTCATCTTAATGGGACAGTGTTATTTAATTAAAAAAATATATTTTAACAAATATATTATGAATAAATTTTTACTTAAATAGAAAAGATCTTATAAAATTATTATACACTGAAAGTTGAGGATATATTGTTACTAAACATTTACAAAACTTATTAATATAATATTATATTTAATAAATAATAAATCAATAAATCTGACCGAAATGTTAACGTATATTATATTTAATAATTTTTAATAAATAACAAAATGTTGTTATTGACTTAAATGAATATAAGAATCCAGACTTTGTGTTGTGAATGCACTACATGATTATTCTTTTGTAAACACTGTTATCGAAAATGGCTGCTTCAACCATCAAACTTCTGACGATAGTTCTTTTCCTTGCTCTTATTTCTGAAGGTAGTATTTTCTCGGAAGACGTTAAACATATTGAATTCTTATAAATTGTTGTTCTTAAGTTTCTCATGCTTCATGATGTGTCAGGTTATGGGAAATGCTTGCTGAGTGATATCTCTGTGAGTCAAAGTCGAACAGGAGTAATGGTGGAGGGAAAACCAGAATGGAGTGTGAGTATCACCAACAAGTGTTCGTGTGCTCAAACGAATGTGATCTTGAATTGCACTGGATTTCGTTCTGCTGAAAAAATTGATCATTCAATCTTGATAGTCTCACTTCTTCCTAGGTTTTGTCTTGTGAAGCCAGGTCAAACTATCAACAGAGATGAAGTTGTTAGTTTCAAATATGCTTGGGACAATCAATTTTCACTTAATCCCATTTCCTCGGAGAGTCTTTGTCCTTAGATGCACCACCTCTGGTGGTTACAACCTCCGTTGGAAGCATTGCAACATCATAATAAAATATTTATTTTAAGTTCATCGTCAATATTTGTTTTCAATCTCTTTTCTGCCATTTTATGTTTCCTTAATACAATAACTTGACGGTGCAAAGTGAAAACAATGACTTTGATTTAATTGTTTTTTTTTTTAGTTTTAAAAAATAATTTTAATAAATAGTCTTAAAAAACTGATTTTATAAAAAATTGTTTAATAATTTAATTTTGAAATTGTTTTAGAAATGAGAAAATTAAAAATCTCATTTGATAATATTATTTTCAATTTTTTTTAAATTGTTTGTCATAACTTTTTATTAATTATTTTTTTTAATCTTCATTAAATAAGAATAAGATATTTTTTTATAAAATACTATAAATAAAATAAAATAAAATTTATAAATATTAAAAATTAGAAATAAATCGGGTCAAAGTTTTGAATTGATGTTGTTAATATTATTTATAATTTATAAGAAATGAACGTTAAAAAAGATAAATATTATTTATTATTTATAAGTTGTATAAAAAAATCATCAATTTAAAAAATTAAGTCATTCGAATGTGATTAAAAATTAAAAAGTTATAAGATAATTTATAATAACAAACAAAATCCAGCAAACCAAAAATAGAATTGAGAGAATAGATTAACAAAGATATAAATTTAAAAAGAATTTCTAAATGATAAATTTATTTTAAAAATAATTTACGACAAATATAATTATAAATATTTCAGTTTGAAAGTTAAGAGTTTTTTATTTTTAAAATATTTATAACTTTGTTATTAATAAAAACTAAAAAATAAACTTTTTATTAATTTAAGGAAAGGAAAGAAAAGAAAAGGAAAAAAAAACTGTTAATAGTTATTAGTTTTTATTTGTAGGAATGGTCATTTTAAAGTTAGAGAAAAATATCAAAAGTTAAATTACCCAAACTTTTAAGTAGCTTCTCAAACTACCTTTACAAGTTGTTATAGTATTTAAGTAATCCAATCTTCTGATTATAGAAAGCTTACAATATATTGATGATAATAAAAGGGCATGTTGTCATTACAGCAAAATATGGTGCACGTACCTGTAATGTTGGTGAAAATGGTGGTTATGCTCCTAACATATCCAGTAAGATTTTTATGATATTGAATTATTTGATATCTACCGTTCTAAAAAATCCTTTAGGGTTTTTCCACTTTATGGGGTTGATTCACATGGTAACATAAATTTTTATCATGCTCTTTATTGTTTAAATTATGGTTTTAATTCTATAATTCTAATTTATCTAATTGTCCATCCGTGTAATCTATAAAACACATCCCATCCCATTTTCATATATGTTAATGTATTATGTCATGTCTTTAATATGATAAACCAGTTTTAGCATACTTCAAATGTAATATCATCCACTACACTACTAGTTATTGTACAACAAGTCACGATCAGTGCAGACAAATACTCCGTCATAACCACTAATATTAGAAAATTTTATACAAACAAGGGAAAACATACATACCTATTTGGCGCACTACATAATGTTAAGTGATAAAAAGTTGATATAATTATGTCTTTAATTGTTATAAAACCATTTAACTTATACTAATTTTAATTTATTTTTCTCCCAATATAGGATGAATTCGAGAATACTTTAATACAAGAGTAAGGAGTATAATTGTCAGCATAATTGGAGTAAAACTGGAAGAAGAAAGAAGATTTTCAGCATGGAAGTCGCTTGAGCACGATAGACTCTCGCTTGAGCGAATATCAGTTATTCTTCTCTGGAAGTCAGTCGCTCAAGCACAAGAAGATTCGCGTGAGCGAATGTTAGTTATTCTTCTCTAGAGTTCATTCGCTCAAGCGAGCGTTTTATCACTTAAGCGAAAACAGACAACTTTCGCTCGAGGGAAAGATGCGAAACCCAAAAGCCCAAATTTTTCCTACAAAAAGGGAAGATGTGTTTTGAGAAAAGGAAGTAGTTTTGGAGAAGAAGAGACGCGACTACTACAAAGGTTTCGTCCAATCTTCATCAATTCTTCACTTCTTCCACATTTAGAGCATTGTAATGACCAACATGAGTGACTAACTTCGTTCTCTTGGGATTGAGTGCACTTCCTTTGAACTCTTTTATATCATGGTGATATTTTAAGATATTAATCTATGTTTTGATGTTGTTATTCTTATCCTTTGTGCTTTGGAATGATTTATTCTTGATGTTTGAGGTATGATTGGAAAATATATCTTGAACCCTAGATCATGGTAAGAATATTTGTTACGTTAATTGCCAAGAATGGAATGAATGTATCAATTGCTTAACACCCTAAACCTAATGCTGGAAAATCTTTTAATTGTGTGAGGAATCAACATTTATTAGGTTTTCTTATGAATTTCATGTGTGAGGAATCAACATGGATGATTTGAGTAGGTGACATCAACATTGTTAGATTAATTGACGTTCTTAAGTGACATAACCATTACAAAAGAGGGATAAGGAAGGAAATCAATCATAAGTGTCTTTAATTGATATTTTCTCAACAATTTACAGTTCTTTGTCATTTAATTTCAATTCAACTCTTATTGAAAAACCCATTCTGTTTTAATCTACTTAGTAAGCATAAAATTTGGGATTTTCATTGATACCGTTCCTCGTGGGATCAACTTTTATTTAATCGAAATATTATACTGCGATTGATAAATTTGGTATGCTTACCAATAATTCAACAAGTATTTCTAGCGCCGTTGCCGGGGAACGGTGTTCTATGAGAATTTTTAGCTTATTGAGTACTTTATTTTTATTTCTGTTTGTTTTATTTTTCAGTTTTAGTTTTTGGCTTGTGCTAATCTTTGCTTGAGTTACTCGTTTGATTTATGCGTTTAAGAGGACAGGTATCTTCAGAGCAGTTAGAATTTAATCTAGAAATTGAAAAAACAGCTCGGAGGAACCGGGGTAGAAGAAGAAGGGAAACTCAAGAACATGCCACAAGAGAATATGTTAAATCTTCTTCCACACTCAATTTACCAGACCCAATTATAGAAGATATGACAGAAGATGGAACAAATCTTAATCCAAATCCAAATCCAAATCAAAATCCAGATTCAAATCCGCCTAGAAGAACTCTCAAAAACTATGTTATGCAGCAAGGTCCAAGACACTTTTCCAGCATTGTCGTACCGGATGATCAAACATTGCAGATGAATCCAACTTTCTTAAGCTTGATTAGTACTCATCAATTCACTAGATTGGATCATGAAGACCTTTATATTCATTTGTCTACTTTTTATGAGTTGATTGGTACCATGGGATTTAGAGCAGCAAATCTTAAATCTGCATATTTGAGATTATTTCCTTTTTCTTTGGCAGGTAGGGCAAAGGAGTGGCTGAAGGTACATCCTAATCAGAGTTTGACTAATTGAAGTAGCGTAGAAGAGAAGTTTCTGAACAAATTTTTCCCACCATCCCGCTACATCAAAGTACAATTCGACATCACTTCTTTCAGACAAGGAGCAGATGAATCTTTTTCTGAAGCATGGGAGAAATTTAAATCACTATTGAGAAGATGTCCAAATCATGGATTTGATGACATTGCTCAGTTGAATATTTTCTATACTGGCTTGCGACATGATGCAAAGATGCTATTAGAAGCTGTAGCACGAGGATCCATGTTGGATGTAGAAATTGAACAGGTTACAAGAATTATTAATGCACTAGCTTTTACAGACCAGTAGGCCCAACATGATAGACATCCAGTTGAAAGAAAGGGAGTTCTTGAACTTAACACTTCAGATGATATCTTAGCCCAGAATAAAATTTTAACCCAACAAATTGAAGCATTGAATCATAAAATAGAGAAATTACCTCAACAAATGCACATAATACAATGCATTCCTAATCAACAGATGAGTTGTAATGTGTGTGGAAGTGATCATGTAAATGAACAATGTTCTTATCAAGGCAATATTTAGCAAGAAGAAACTAACTATATGGGTGCTCAAGGTAGTAGTCAAGGCAGACAAGGTAATTTCCCTAATTCCAAATTATTAAAATAATTTTGCACAAGGATGGAGAAGGAATCAAAATCATAATTTTGGGTGGAAACAAGGTGTTAGTTCATCTACTAGACAACCTACATTTCAACATCAGTCATATCAGCAACCTCCATATCAGCAACAACAATATCCTTCAATACTTGACAGAATGAGTAAATTGGAGGATACTTTAGAAAAATTCATGCAAAGCACTATGTCTAATCAGAAAAATACTGAGGCTTCATTCATAAAATATAGAGACCTAGATACGTTAACTAGCTAAACAATTATCTGAACAGCAAGGAGGACAATTTTCAGCTAACACACAAACCAATCCAAAGGAGCAATGCAAGACAATAACTACAAGGAGTGGTAAGGTTATAGGAGAAGGGATTGGTGAGAACTTGGCTGTAGAGAAGGAAAATCTACAAGAAAAAGAGGATGAAAAAAAAGAAAGATGAGTGTGAAGGAGAAAAAGAGAAAAATAAAAGTGAGAGTGTAGAAAAAGAAAAAAATACTGAAAAAGAAGAAAAAAATATAAATATTGAGAAAAAGAGGGAGAAAGATGAGAGTCAAATACCGCAACTAAAGGATTTACCATATCCTTGTCATCCTTCAAAGAAAGATAAAGAAAGACAATTTGCAAGATTTATGGATATTTTCAAGCATTTACAAATTAATATTCCATTTATGGAAGCTATGGAGCAGATGTCGACTTATGCAAAATTCATGAAAGAGTTGTTAACTAAGAAAATGAGTTTTACTACAGAAACGGTGGAGCTAAAAGCAAGATGCATCACTATAATTCAGAAATAATTACCTCAAAAGTCCAAGGATCCTGGCAATTTCACTATACTAGTCACAATTGGGACACTACAAGTAGGTAAGACATTACTTGATTTGGGTGCTAGTATAAATCTAATGCCTTTGTCTATGTTTAAAAGAATAGGAGACTTGAAAG